CCCTGTCACCAAGTCAGGGAGGCCTGGGAAAGACAAGGACTTCATCCCAGCTCAGGTAGGAGGTATCAGCCTTCCTTGCCCAGAGCATCAGGGCTTCTCAGATGCCTGTCTGTCCGGCCAGATGTCAGCTGAGCCTACTGCTAGTGAGAAACAGCCAAGCTGTCTCCTAGAGCATTTGCTTTGTAGAAAACCAAGTCAGCCTCGTTAAGAGGAATCCTCAGGTAGGCCCTTATTTGGAGAGCAGATTAGTCAAAATTCAAACCAGGAGCTGGGCTAGGTGGCTTGTGCCTAGAATCTTAGCTACTCAGGAGGCAGAGATCAGGAGGATTTCAGTTTAAGGCCAGCCCAGGCAAAAAGTTAGAAAGACCCCACTTTAATTAACAGCTGAGTGTGGTGGAGTGCACCTGTCATCCCAGTATTAAATAAGCATAAATAAGAGGATCATAGTCCAGGCCAGCCTGGGCAAAAACTGAGACCATATCCCAAAGTAACTAACGCAAAAAGGGCTGGGGTGTGGCTCAAGTGACAGGCCCTGAATTCAACCCCCAGTACCACAAAAAAATAAAAATAAAAAAGAACTTCTAATTTACCCCCACTTTTTATAGATGGGAGTGGGCGGGTATGGGAGCAGGTAAATCAGGGAATGCGCCCCAAGTCAAGCAGAAGGTGGTCGCACCAGCAGTTCTGCAGCCAGGGCTCAGAGGCCTTTGGAGAAAGGTCTGGGGCCCAGACCACCACCACAGATGGAGAAAGCTAGCTGACCTCAGACAGATCCCAGGTGACATAGAAATTCCAACCTTGGTGGCTTATGACAGATCTGCTGCGCACACTACACACCACTGAGGGTGGCCACAGCTCTTCCATGTCGCCCTCACAGGGACCCAGGTGGATGAACATGGAAAATGGCTGGCATGGTGTTGAGAGAGAAGTGAAGCCTGCACAGCTCCTGGGGCCTCAGTCCGGGTGACACAAACCTCCTTTACCACACAGGCAACAGGGAGGCCTGTGGCACACTCAAGTCCATCAGGGCTGAGATGTACAACCCTGCAGTGGCAGAACAACAGAATTTTTGGCAACCAGTCAATCAAAGATGAGCAGCCAAATGACTGGTGGTGGCACAAAGAAGAGGGTGTCCAGACATGTCAGGATTCCTGTGTTCTTATAACCGTGATCCTCCCAATCTCTGCCTCCTGTGTTAAGGTTACAGACATAAGGCAACATCTTTTGTAATGGTGACTTAAATTTAAAGTCACCATTAAAAGATTCTTGAAGTCAGACCTGGTGGCTTGAAATCCCAGTACCTGAAAAGCACAAGTTTGAGGCTAGCCTGGGCTACTTGTGGCAAGAGACCCCATCTCAAACAGCAGAAACAAAACCTTCTCAAGAGAGGCATTTGTGAAAAGACTTAATGAGACAGGGTTTCCACTGTGATGCCTGGGCTTCCTCAACTGCTGTCCTCCTGCCTCAGCTTCTGAGTGCTGGGATTATGGGTGTGAACCACCACACCTGACTCTAGAGCTTGAGTCAGGGACACCATATTTAAGGCTATCTGTATTGGTGCAATGGAGATTGATGGGATAGTTTGGTCTTGTGCTGTCCGATATGGTAGCTACAAGCCAGCTGTGGCTAAGGAGCCCCTAAAACGTGGACAGCTCATAGATATGCTGAAGTGTAAAATACACACCAGATTTCAATGAATTAGTGTGAAAATTTTGCAAGCTCACTAATATTTTTATGTCCATTACATGCTGAAGTGATATTGGGTTAGCTACTATTCAGATTAATTTGTGTTTTCTGACATTTTATTGTGGCTCTAGGAAAATTTTAAGTCCTACTGTGGCCCACACAGTTTCTCTACTGGACAGCACTGGTTTAAAAAGACCCACATTTTCTTTTCTGTCCATAGCATGTCTGACATTCTCAGTGGAGACTTTATCATCAAAAACATTTACCCTTGGCCCAGATGCTACAAGCTCCTCCTAGCTTTATTCATGTTTGTTTGGTGGCACTGGGGTTCGAACTTACAGCTTCACACTTGCAAGGCAGGCCCTCTACCACTTAAGCCACACCCCCAGCCCTTTATTCATGTTCCTTAAATTTTAATCTTTCACTTACATAAAATCATGGATCTCTCCTGTCACTGTATTTCTTTCCACTCTAAGTTCCAAAACTTTTCTATGGGATGACCATTTAAGCACTGTGGCATTGACCAGGGGACATGGACCAAAGCAAGAGGACTTCATGCTGCATAGAGCAGTAGTTAAGTGTACTCTGCACAGGCACGGGTGTGGTAGTACATGCCTGTAATCCCACGTACTCAGGAAGGGGAGCTAGAAGGATCTCAGCTTAAGACTGACCCAGGCAAAAGCATGAGACTATCGGAAAGCTAAAAGCAAAAGGCCTGGGGCATGGTTCAAGTGGTAGAATGCTTGCCTACCAAGTGTGAGACCTGAAGTTTAATCCTCAGTACCATCAAAAAAAAAAAAGGAGAGAGAGAGAGAGAGAGAGAGTGCTGCACCTGAGACAACAGTGTGGCTTTTGAGTCTAGGCTCTGTTCAACTGCAGACCATTTTTTAGGTCACTGTCTTCTACCTACAGAGTCCCTGCCTCACCATACTGCACCTGGCACACAGTGGGCCCTCCACAGCTCTAGTGACCGACCTTGCTCTACCTTAAGCCTGTGATGCTTAGAAATGAATCAGCTCTCATCTGATGGGTGTGGCACAGTCACACAGTGTCACAGTCTCCCCAGAGCCCAGCCTCCACTAGGACAGGCCAAGGACACAAACACCAATGGTGAACAGGTAGAAGCTATAATCTCTGGTGGCCAGCCCCCACTCCTCTTCCTTGTCATCCCAGGTAGATGGCCAAATCCCTCTGGAGCATTGGCTTCTTCCAAGTCACACTGACAACATCCCTGGAAGGTTCACAGGTAATCCAAAGGTGTCGAAAGCATCCCTGCCTAGAAGACTTCCATAAATCTGCTCCTTTATAGCAACAAAATCTCTGGCAAAATGTCCAAAGATGAACTTTGCGGAACTCTAGAAATGAACAAAGGCCCACAGCCATCTGGGAAGTATTTGAAGAGTACGTGCCCTTTGTTCTCCAACTTGCATCTCCTCCCTGATTCCAGCCCATGTTTCACAGAGCCATCCTTGAAGGATAAGACCCTAAGACATGAGACCAGCAACCCACATCTCCTATCAGCAAACCCCACGGGTGTGACCTAAGGACCCTGCCTCCACCACACCTTGTACATCCCAGAGGCAGCCCTTTGGTAGAGTCAGGACTTCCCCAGTTTCAGTCTGTATCCTCCACCTCCCACATCCTCCTCCCCGTGCCGGAATTCTGTGCTTCTGCCTAAGACCCTCAGTAGCCCTCAGAGCTAAGGCCAATCTGCACGGCAGGCCTTGTGAACTCGTTCCCCAGACTGCAGGCTCCACTCCCAGATGCTCTTGCTGCATCAAGGTTGCACTGTACATGTAAAGCTTAGACCAAGTGTAATATGACTTGTGTAAAGTCACACTCAGTCACTGCTAGGACTCAGGACTGAGGGCCCCCTCTATCTAAACCGGGGACACTGATGTGATTTAATTTCTTTAAGACGTGGCATCATCTTTTGATTTTATAGACGAGGAAAACTGCAGCTCAGCTGCCTGGTAACCACATAGGTAAGAAGCAGGCCTAACGGGGAGATGAGCTGTCTCAGCAACCCAGCACAGGCTTGAGAGAAGCCATAGCCTTGGGGCAGAGCAGAGGATCAGAACAACTGAGGCCTGGGAGAAGCTCTAGGAGGAGGGGGAGTTGGCGCTCAGAACCAGAGAGAGGAGAGGACTCTATGAGAGAGCCCAAAGGCTGCCTTAGTTCTATAGAATGAAGAGCTGATGCCGCTCAAGCCCAGAAGCACGGGCAAGCCCCACACCATAGCACAGGAAGCAGGGGTCAAACCAGGGAGCTGTCTGGGGTGCTGGGCCAGTCAGTCAGGACATGGCACCCCCTGACATCCTGCTTCACTGGTGAGTGCACAACTCCATAGTGAGTTTGGAAACCAGTGCTCTGAACTGTAATCAGACTGGTCAGACCATTCAATGGTAACAGCCAGAGGAAGCTCGGCTGCCACCTGGTGGGCCAAGGAGAAAGGAAAGGGCCAGACAAAAATTTCTGGCCAAAATATCTTCAAAGAACTGGGGGGGTCTCCTTTCGTTATGGTCCTGTAAGGTCCACACTTATAGCCATCCTCTTCACTTCATTCCCCACCTTCAATCTTTTTCACCGCTGAAAGAAAAATGGACTCAAAGCTGTAGTTTATACAATTCAAGATTTATATAAGTTCTAAAGTTACTTAAGTTACTTATTCTTAAATTGCACAATGCTGAAGCCAGTCTAAAAAAGAATCAAGCACACCACTGCAAGGTAATTCAATGAGCTGCTTTTTTTTTTTTTTTTTAAACAAATGTATACAGCAAAAATTCCCAAATGACAGTCCATCCCATAGTCACCCTGTCTGGTACACAGGAAGCTGAGGGAGCAACTGACAAGAGGAGTCCGGATCAGCAGCCCCACTCCTTGGATTAACTTCTACTTGAAGGCGAAGTGTATGGAAAAACCTTGAGTTCCCTTTGTTCTCCAGTGTGTCTTGTACAAAATATTACATTTTTTAAACATATTTACAGAGTTTGCACAAATAGAAAATGGTTACAAATTACAACCAGGCTTGGCAAGGTAACAGTCTCCCTCCCCGTTGACTCTCATCCAGAAGCAGGATGAGAGTGGGGCCAGAGGGTGTGACAATTGCTCCATATTTACAACTCCATTTAAAAAGTCTGGGTTCCTAGAGACCTAGAGGATGTATATAAAAACTGGTTAACATAACAATTCACACCAATTAGTCCATATCTGACTCCCTGAAGAAAGACTTAGAAGTAAAAGAAACCCTATCCAGCAAGCCGAGCTGTGCCCCCCCCGCCCCCCCCCCCACTCTCCCAGTCTCCCCAGCCAGCCTGGGGCAGTCTATGGGGTATAGTGGGGAAAGCGTGGGAAGGAAGAAGAAGGGGAGGGAACACGGGCAACCTGGTTGAGATGCCTTTCTTCAATGTTTCTTTAAACAGCTTAGAACGAGGTTAAGCCAGTGGCTTGTGAAAACCATCCTAAGGCTCTGAAAAGAACCCACAGATCCTCAAGAGGAGAGATCTTCAACAGGACTATACCGCCCAGGGCGAGGGGGTGGGGGAGAGGACACAAGAAGACACCGCATGTTACTGTGATGTTAGATCTTTGTCTTGAGGGCCAAGCCCAATTTCAACAGTGCAAAATGACTCAAGCAGTGGCTCTGGGGGCCAGGGTCAAAGACTGGCACAGTAGCTCTCCACCCACTGTGCAAGGCCTCGCTCCACCAGTGACCGGTTTATCAACACCACCTGGAAAACAAAGTCCTCTTCAGAACTTAGCCCTTGGCTCCCTGGGACCATCTCTCAAGCCAACTCAGGCTCTTCCTCCCAAGTCACCAGTTGCCAGCCAGGCAACAGGTGAACACACAGGGCACGCCTCCAAAAGGGGCCTCAAGTCAAATGTCCTGTTGCCACTCAGTGTGAGGGTAGGCGTTTTGGTATCCTGAAGAAACCTAAGCTTTGGTACTATGAGAAAACCCAATGGACAGAAATCTCTGGGAGGCACAGAGCAGGGTTTTCCCATCTCAGCACAAGTGATACTTTAGGCTGGATACTTCTGCATCTGTCCTGGGCACTATACATAGAAGCTCTTGGCATCTACTCACTCATGACCCTTGGGTGACACTGGTTTATAGTGACATCTTCTGATTAGTCGGGAGGAAGCAAGGCCAGAACCTGTTCCCATAAACCCACCCCTGCCAGCAGAACATGCAGAAAGTAAAGAAGGACAGACTCACTTCATCTCCAACCACACTCCACAGCTGAATCAGAGGAAGGCCAGTTGGACTGTAACTTGTCACCTGGGGGACAGGTGAAGAAAAGCACATTTTAAAGCTACTCCATGTACCTTCTTTAAAAAATGTAACTCAGGCTGGCCTTGAACTAATGATCCCCTTGCCTTAGCCTCCCAAATGCTGGGATTACCACAGGTGTGGGCCATGCCTGGCTTATAAACTTCTTTTAAAGTTGCTTTTTTAGCCAGGTGCTGATGGCTCATGCCTACAATTCTAGCTACTCAGGAGGCAGAGATCAGGAGGATTGTAGTTCCAAACCAGAACAAGGCAAATAGTTCAAGACACTCTACCTAGAAAAAACCAACACAAATTAGGGCTGGTGGAGTGGCTCAAGTGGTAGAGTGCCTGTCTAGCAAGCGTGAGGCCCTGAGTTCAAGCCCCAGTACTGCCCAAAAAAAAAAACAAAGTTGCTTTTTAAGGCCTATACCCGTGGAGAGAAAGTTCCTGGATGGGCACAGTGGCATACACTGCTTGGAAGGCAGAGATGGGGTTGAAGGTTGGAAATTGCAGTTTGAAGCCAGCCTAGGCAGATAGTAAGACCGACTTTCAACAAACAAGCTGGGCATGGTGGTAAATGCCTATAATCACGGGTATGAGGGAGGTGTAGGTAGGAGGATCTTGGTCTGAGGCTGGCCCAGGTAAAAACCATGAGACCCTATCTGAAAAATAGGGCACAAATACAGCACAAAGGGCTGGGGGCATGGCTCAAGTGGTAGACCATGTGTCTGTCCAGCAAGCTCAAGGCCTTGAGCTCAAACACCGGGACAAACGAAATAAAACAGAAGGTTCATTCCCAAGAAGCCCAGACACCTGACTGAGTGAGATGGGTGGCTCTCCTGATAGATCCTGTGCAACCTGCCCCACCACCTATCCCCACCACATACCTGGGCAAGCAGTGCTGTATTTCCTGTCATCTCACTCATGGCTGCATCTGCTTCAGGTGAAAAGTGGTCGTCATCTTTAGGAGGAGGAGAAAAAGCAGTCATTAGATGCTCACCTGGGCAGTGCGCTCATCACCAACTGTCACTGTATCTCAGCAAGCTACTTTAGATACTCAGACCTAAGGGCTGCATTTGGGAGCCATTCTTGTCAGGTAGTGCCTAGGCCTCCACATGACTCAAGTGGATACACATGGGGTCCCTGCTGCACACTAGCCCCCCATTCCAGGATGGAGGACAAAGGATAGAGACCACCTTCAATGGAAATACCACCCCCACCTATCTGGAGCCAATTCTGCTGAGAAAGCCATGTTCCTCCCCCGAATCAGCAACACCCTAGAAGACAGGTATGATGCCTGTTTACAGGTAAGTAAGAACACATGCAAAGGCAGATGGCTAAAGGCCAATCAGCTCACAGAATGGCACAACTAGAATTCAAATCCAGGCAACTGGCCCAGTATGGGCAGTCACCACTCTACTGTGGCACCGAGGCACCACTTTGCTCTGGTGGATTCCAAAAGTAGTGTATGAGGACATGCTCAAGGAGGAAGTGGTAAGGCAAGAGGCAAGAATCTGTGAAGGTGTGGGAAGGTATTACCAAGGAGGGAGAGCACTGCAGTGGTTCTGGACAGATTACACAGACTGAAGAAATGGAGAAGGTTGGACAAAGAAGGGAGAACGAAGAACCTGCCCAGCGTTACATCTGACATAACTCCAGCCAGATTCATGTTTTTATTGTGTTTAAATTGCTTTAGATAAGCGAGAACAGGATCCAAAAGGGCCAGCCCAGAAGGCTGGCTGGGAGGGTGACAGGGTGAGCAGATTACCACTCACAGCCACAGGTGGCTGCCAGCTGGCCACCTTCTATACTCCAGTAACTCTCACAGCTGCTCTGCAAGATAGGCACCATCCCCATGTTTCAGAAAGGAAACTGAGGCTCAGTAATGCCAGCCCTGCTCCCTCTGGCAATGCATTCACAGTCTCAGACACTAGACAGGTTGTGTGCTGGCAGGGTCCCCACAATGCACTAAGGAACTGTGACCTTACAGAGCAGTGCTGCTGACCTTGTGCCTGCCCTCTCTGGTCTGGACTGTGCTCTGCAAGTGTCTTGCTGGAGACCTCTTAATGCTATCAGTCTGAGTTGAATGCAGAACAGCAGACTGCAAAGGATGGCCCATAGAACAGCAGCACTGACGTCACCAATGCAAGGGAACTTGCTAGAAATGCCAGTTCTCAAGTCTCGGCCCAAAGCCTGTTCCACCAGAACTGATAGTGGCAGCCCCCATGTGTGCACATATCCTCCAGGTCAGAACCAGGGCACTCAGACAGACCCACATCCAACAACTGCCCACCCCCTCAGCCAGAAGCCCCACCTGTTACCTGACAGGGGCATCACACTGTCTAGAAGGACTTCTGCTCCCTGGAATGGCAGGGTCACAAAGTCAGACCTACAAAGGCAGGAAAGAGACAAGTGTAACACGGACTTGAAGACTGATTCCTCCACCAGCCAAGATTCACATTTACCTGCTGCTCAGCGTGTGACACCCACAACCCAGGTGATGCAGTCGGCAAAGGTCAAAAGCGAGCCTGGCTCAGTTTGATGAATGATACATGAGGACTTCTTCTGCAGGACAGCCCTTCTAGCTCAGTGTGGCTGAATCAGTGAGTGTTTATATCTGACTCTGCCAACACACGGTAGTCAGCAGGATCCCTCCTGCTGAGAGGATGAAGCCTCGCCTGGGCTTGACAGACTTGAGCCACAACCCCCACACCTGGCAGGGCTTATGCTATCCGAGGAGGTTCCACTCACCTGATTTGCCGGAGTACGTCTACCTTCACCCTCTTATATCCACCATAGTCCACGTAGCGAATCTCCACCTCGTCAGTCTCCTCATAGGAGGCAACCACTTGGGCTCGCCACCAAGCCCCATCCACACCAGGGGCAGCACAGATGACCGTTACTGCAAGGTAGGAAGAGGAGCATGCGGACACTCTGGCCCAGGGCAGGGCACCAAGGAACGCCCTGGTCACTGCCATCCACCCCTTCACATTACTTCTCAGATATATGTCTCTACAGGCAGAGGACAGGAACAGCATGAGTCCCCAACAAAGCCTCCCTCAAACCCAAGACAAGGCAAGGGAAGACCCTGGATGTGGGAAATCCAGCCCAGCAGGTGACACCCCCAGAGCTACTCAGATGGAAAAGCATTCAATTTACACCCATTACTCTGAAACTTACCCAGGCCTGAAGAAAACACATTAACCAGAATAAGCCATACAAAATACAAAACTCTGAAAACAAGGCATGGGCCAATCAAGACCCACAGTCTGCTCCAGCCCATACTGCCTCAAATCGAGGGCCTGGCAGATGGCATTCCCAGGTCTGTGCCCCGTATCTCTAGCCTTTGCCTCAGGAGGTGCAAAGTGCCTGCATGGCCAACAAGGTTACACTCCAAAGGGTCACCATTCCCCACCCCTAGACAGGGGCAGGTGAAAGCATGGCATGGGGGTCATCCAGCTGTCCCCCAGGCCAACTGGGAAGAGGATCTGGAACATGAGCTGACTACGCTGGGTCCTGAGCCTTAAGAGAGCCTTGTTCCACCACCTGTTGGGCTCTAGTTTGGTCTTTATTGCTGGGTTGAGGACTGTTAGAGAATGTGATGAAAACTAAACCCTTATTCCTCTAGATGGAAAAATAGAAAATGCTTGAGACAATCGCAAAGCTCTTTCCGATGCCCTGAAGTTCATCAGGAGGCCCCAGGTCAGGAGGCTTTGAGGGCGTGGGAGAAAAGTTCTAGTATTTGACCCCCACTGATAACAACAGTTGTAACATGACAAAGGTTGGTTTAGGCCCCAGCTCCTCTGAACGTTACTGAGCAAATCACTTGATTTCAGAGGCTGTTTCCTCACCTGTCACATGGAGACTACCCAACCCACTGAATGGGTTTGCTGGGCTTAGGATCTTTTATTGTAACCAGTATATGCATGAAGTGCTTTATATGTAAAACATACAGTACAGCCAACCCCATTTCCTGGCAGAGAAGCCTGGATTCCACAGGGTAAGTGGTAATACCTGAATTAAAAGATACAAAATGGCAGGACTGGGATTTGAACCCAAGAGTCAAGACCCTATTCCAATCTCATTGCTTTCTTGTTAATTAAAGCCCTGGCTTTGACTAGCCAGGAAACTCAACCTAGCGGGTCTCTATACAATGTACAAGTCAGGGATGCTATCCCATGTAGAGCCCCAACACAGCTCTCCCTCCTGGGTCAAGGCCAACAGCAGAACAGGCAACCCTCATGCTTCTGCACTGACTCTCCAGGGCAGCACTTACTTTCTACTGGGGTAGGCAAGGTGGGAATTCCAGGCTGAGAATAGCAGAGATACATCTGCTGGTCCAGGCTGCGCAGTGCGTGGAAGGTGGGGTGTGTGTGCTGCTGTACAAACAGGTGCCCGGCGTTGACCTGGTTGACTACAATGACCTCCACGGTGATACCATCAGGCAGCATGAGCTGCAGAGGGGAGGAGACAGCCAACACTCCATCAGTCCTTCTCTTCTCAGGTTTAGAATAAGCCCCAGTGCTCAGGGCAAATCTCTGAACTGTCACATATTTGAAAAGGGCACAGCCACCCAAAACAACATAGCACCAGGGTGGCAGAGGTACAAGACTACTTTCAGCATCTGTGGCTGTTGTCTGCAAAACCATGAGCAGACATTAGGGACAGCCTCACCTCAGGACCTGGGGAAGAGCCTCTAGCAGTAGTTAATGGTGAGCCTCACAGGCCTGGGCTGGGTCCATCCCCCAGAGCTCCCTATCCCTCCCACCTCTTTTGATTGAGTCTGTAAGATCCAAGGAAGACAAATGGGAATGAGTGGCTGCTGAGGACAAGATGTCTGAGAATAAATAAAACTGGGCAGGGCTCAGGCACTTTTGGGTTGGTAGCTCACCCAGCTTATGGTTTGACAGCATTTTTCTACCTTCCAAAGAACAAGCAGCAGCCTCAAGCCAGGCCTTTTCAAGATCTGCCAGATTCTGTCCCATTTGCTTTGTGACTTCTCACCCCCTACAACCTGTTTTTCTTCTCTTCCCACCACAGATATGTCATTCTTACTTTGGGCCTTGAACTTCGGGTATGCTCAGCCACTAGGCATATGTTAGCAGAGCCACCCTGATATCTGAAAGGCTTATATTGACACACTTGACTTCCCAGTGCCAAGCTGTGGGCAGCCAAGTAGGGCTCTAGAACTTCTTCTGACCTCTATGTGTCCACCCCAGCCCTTCTCACCCATAGGCACCTGAGGTCTCCTCCCTAGTCCTACTGAGCCAAGAAGAACACAGGGAAGGAAACCACCACACAAACCATGCCATTATTTAAGAAGAGATTCTAGGGCCAAGTCTCCTGAGAAAAAACTTTTAGTTCAGAATACCCACCAGAAAGAACTCCCCATTCCTTCCCCCACAGCACAAAGGTGTGTTGGGGGCACAATTTTCATGAAGCAGCACGTTCAGACCATCTGTGTGAAGTCTGAACAGTCTTTAGCCTGCAGAACTCTATATGTCTACTCCCAGTGAGAAGGGAAGGGACCTGACTACAGCCAAGGGTATACACACTGACAGGCCCTAGAGATGTCAGCCCTTCCTCCTGCCAAACTCCTAGGGACTCTGCATTTCTAGAATATAGTCTAAGCAGCTCCTGAAGAGAAGAGAAAGGGAGCCCTTCACCAGGGCCATCACTCAGCCAGCTCAACTAGGACTGGAACGACCCATTACAAGCCTCATTCAAACCCTTGATAATGGGTCCTAACGAGCCACATTGGTGGGGACACAGTTTCCTGGCTGAGCTATTATTTTTTCTAGGAAAATGCTAGGAAATACGAACCATGCCCAGGTAATGGGGGGGGAGCGGCATGTTCCTCCCACGTGGGGACCCAGTGGCCCTGTCATCTGGCCAGCGCTGCACCCTCTCCAGAGAACACCCACTGGCAGAATTGACTGGTGGGGTCAGAGGTGAGAGAGCAGGGCAGTGATGTGCTCAGTCTGGGGAGCTTCTTATTGGGGCAGAAAGTCCCCGTCGACAGCATTCTTACCCAGGATGTCATTGGCAGGGAAGGCAGCGCCAGTGAAGGCAATGGGGGAGCGTAGATATTGGTGAGGTTCAGTTCCTTAAACTTCTTCCCAATCAAACTCAGAGCTTTGTCCACATGATGCTGAGAGCCTAAAAGGGAGTGGGGCAGGAAAATTATTGAGGATAAAAGTCACAGATGATGCCAACTTACCCCCACACCCTACCCCACAGGACTTTTAGAGTTCAAGGGCATCTTTAAAGGTGCCAAAATGTTAACTTTTGCATTTGGAAAAAAAAGTTGTCTAAACCATTCCTCTTTTAAGCAATGCCTCACCATTCAGACCCATGCTTTGAACATGACAGGAGGCTGGCAGTGGCAAAAATCAAGCCTGCCTAGACTAGGGGGCTCCTCTGCTCTGCAAAGGAGCCTATGTGGGGTGACAGGGACTGTGACCCATGACCCTGAGATGAGGAAGACGCCCCATGTTCCCTCCACCTGGGATGAGAAGCAGTTATCTGTTCAGAGCCTACGACTCCAAAAGGAGGGCAACTGGGACTTACAGGACCCAATTTCTTACGTTTCAGGTAAGAAACCTAAATCCAGGGCAGCCCTGCCACTGACCTTCGATGTGGCAGATCTGGATGTTCTGGGTGTAAGGCAGTGTGGAGATGTAGATCTTGGCACCAGATGTCTGCTTCAGAAAACTCACATAACGGCCCTGCTTGCCAATCAGACGGCCGACCAAGTGCTGCCAGGAGTGAAGAGGAGGTGAGAAAGCTAACAGGAAACCAGTCCCCACATCCCAAAGACCTACTTTTGTTCCCCAAAAGGTCAAGCTCAAACATATTAACTGTTACTGTTAATATGCTTCCATTTGCTGGGACTGTTTTAAGCACTTACATTTATTTACTCACAGTACTTGTGTAGCAGGCAACTTTATCACCCAAAGAGGCTAAGAAACCCACGTAAAGCCACACCACTGCTAAGCAGCTGAACAGGGTAGTCTGACTCCAGGACCCACGTGCTCCCACTTCATACCCAGAAAGCTGCAAAGGCAGTGTCTCCTGCTCCAAACACACCAGGAGCAGTTTTACCAGCAGAGGAGTGGGCTCTGAATCTTCATACCTCTGCTCCTCCAAGTCACTCAGGTCCAAAGGTAGGGGATGGTTTGAAAATCAAAAAAATCTGGGATCTTGCCACCAACGGACAGCAGGCTAGAGCCTCCAGAGCACGAGGCATGCAGAAGTGCCCAGTGCACCAGAGTTCAAGACTGACAGAAGCCAAACTTAGTCATGATGCAAGACAAGCTTCACAATCCCAAGGGACCCCAGCCCCCAGGGCTAGGAGGGACTCAGTCCTCCTTACCCAGAGCCCGTCTCGCTTTCCCTCTGTAACCACTGAGGGCAGGATTGCTAACAAGGCCACCAGGGGAGGAAACGCCAGGGGAGCCAGTAGTCCTGACCCAGAGTTTGACCAAGCCAGTTCTCTACCTCAGTCCACAGCCAAGTGCCCTGAGAAAAAGCCTGCCAATTCTGAGTCCCAGAAATAAACATAAGATCAAACTACTAAGTTGTTAAGTTGTAACTGCAGGAGGAGAAACCACCAAGGCACCTAGGAAATGGGGGCTGGTGAAGCAAAATGAAATTTACTTAATTAAAGCCACACAGTTAAAACTGCATTTCCAAAAAAGTGACAAAGGCAAATTAAATTGTTAAATACTTAAAAGTATTAATTAAAACAACACAATCTCAGTTTTGTTGAAAAACCACAGGGTGCAAGATGAGAAGGAAATAAAAGTCTTCACAGTCACTCTCAGGGGTAGGGTTAGAGCATGTTTTCATTTTCTTCATGTACTTCTATACTTTTTAAGTTCTCTGAAGCTTAGTTTATGCTTTGCTCAGTTATAAAATGCACCTTACACTGGAGAGGAGAGTGGGGCACAGGGAAGGGGGCTCTCCTGCCCAGCCCTCGGTCTGTTTTTTGCCATTATTTGTAAATAGATCTGAGCCCATGCACAAGAGGAACCTGGGGATAAGCAGGCCTGAGAGTTAGGGACAGATGCTCCTGAAGGCTGGGGGACTCACCTGTAGTTCGCCTCTGCACTTGGCAAAAAAAAACATGGCACCTCCTTCCTCCCAGGCTTACTTGGCGTCCCTTCTGGCTCACAGACACCCCCCCACCCAAGTCTGACAGCTCCCAAACAAGGGAACTTTGAGCTGGATGCAGCCTGTGGGAATGCCACTGCCCTTACCTTTGGCACCTCGATCTCCCAGATGATGAGGTCGACCTTTTTCGGGTTGGAGTCTGCCTGGGCATTTTGGAGACTGTCCGACTTCTTGAGCCCGCAACAGCTATCCATGGAATCCATGCTATTCCCGTCGGAACCTGCAGGGGAGAAAGCGGTACACGCACACAGACCCCAGCTCAGAGCTGTCAATATCTACAAGTTCCCAAAATTCTCATTCCTGAGAGGTACTGCCCCATAACCCCACCTTAAGCTTGGCAGGTGACAGTCAATCACAGTCTGGAAGGCTAGAAAAACCCAATGAAAGGAGGCCTGGGGTACCCACACGCCTAATTTTAGCCTGTCACTTATAGTCCCACTTGCTTATTTGGCAGCTGCACCCAGCCACAGCTGCTGAAGCAGATATACAAGTAATGAACTGGGAAGAGACAGACTCAGTGTCCAAGAAGGGGAGTCCACATGGCTGGGGGTGGGCAGGAAGTAGCCCACAGGTCCATATGGTCCCAGGAGCTGACCTGGACCATATTGCCACAAGTGTCCTGCTACCCTTCCAAGTGTCCCAACCCCTTCAAATAAATGGTCTCAGTCCCCAAGGCCCCAGGTCCCAGCTCCCAAATGGGGAGCTAAACTGAGCAAGACAGAGCCCTCACTGGCCTATCTGAGGGCTCCATGCCTGTCCCCGGGTCAGGGCCCACTTGTCTCTCGTGCCAGAGGTGGACAAGGGAAGGTACCCTCCTTTCCTTCTGCTTAGGCTCAGCTTGTGCAGCTCTGAATAATCTTTGGAGCTCAAACACCCCCTGGTCAGACTGAGCCAAAGCTCGTACCCTGAAGGACAGGAGGGAACAGGACTACGGCATCGAGTTGAGCTGGTCTACTCTTGCCCAGGGAATGCCGAAGGAAACCAGGGGTCCACAGAGTTTAAGAGAAGTGGCTCTGTCTTAAATATGGACTCAATCCAGAAATCAATCACTCCTGAGAGTCAACTAATGAGGTTATTTTCCACATGTTTTCCCCAAAACCTAGGCAGAATCCTTTGCCAAGCAATCCATACACTGTCTAGATGCAAAGGACCGAGGACTAAAGGGTCTCTGCTCCCAACTAAGGAGAAGTCACCTTCAACAAAAGGGGTCCAGAATAAGCTCCTTGGCTAGCAGCACAACGGTCTAACAGGGCTCCACTCATACACAGCCTCCAGCCTGTCTAATAGAACAGGAGTGGCTCATACCCATACCCAGTGGCTCAGAATCATACTAGGCCTTTAGCAGGCTGTATTTACAAGGCTAACTTGGGGCTCACTTAGCCAGGTGGTTCCTGTACCTCTCAGCTTCAACTTCACACAAAACACAAACACAAAACAGGGCTAAGGCTAATGTGACAACGCACCCTCTAAGCACACAATGGTTGGTGTCATCTGGCTTTGATCGATCAGCTATTCCTGAACCTCCCTGCCCATTACATCTCCATTATAGCCTTTTTTTTTTTTTTTGAGACTGGGTCTTACTGTATAGCTTAGACTGGCTTAGAACTCACCATATAGCCCAGGCTGGCCTCAAACTCACAATCCTCGGCCTCGAGTGAGACTATAGGTATGCACTCCCACATTCAGCCTACAGCCTCCTTTTCTGCAGAGCTAAGCTCAGAAGCCCTCCAATCTTATCCCTTAGTCAATCCAGAGTTGGCAACACTAGGCTGAAGGGCTCATTCATCAAGGTGAAAGGCAGTAGGCAAAAGAAAACTTCATTCTTTTGTGGTACTGGAGTTTGAACTCAAGACCTTATACTTTCTAGGCGAGTTCTACCAAAATTCTTTCATTGAAAAACAAAACAAAAACAAACAAAAAAACAAAACAAGCACTTTTCTTTAACCCATTTTAGGATGCAAATTTTAAGAAACATATGAACATTCCTGATATTAGGATGCATCTTAACAGTATCTGACCTTCCACAATCACAAATGGCAGCATTGTTTTCTTTTAGAGTTATGTAAAACAATAGTGATTCTAATCAACAGCATCTTAGGGTGACAAATGCAGTGTGTGGCACTCATCAGATGCTGCTGAAGGTAGGAAAACACCCAAGAATGATCCCCAAGTTTGCTGGACAGAGCTGAAGTGGGAGGGAATGGCTCCAGGACCATTGTGCCCAAGAGCCATTCAGGAAGTAATGGCAGCCTCCAAGAGAAAAATGGAATTACCCCAGGGGAGCTGCAAAAGCAGGGTCAGGAGCTGCTGACCTGTAAGTGAGCGGGCTGAACTGTCTACGCTGGGGTCAGCACTCGAAAAACCCAGTGGACACTTCGTTACCCAAGTGCCCTCTTTCCCGGGGTGGAGCTGCAGCTGCACAGAGAGAAAATGGCTGAGGCTCTGCAAAGGAGGTGACAGTAACAACCCAGGACGGCTCGAGCCTGCCTGTGCTCAAAGCTGCGGCCGTCCATGGGGCACTTACCCTGGGAGGGCTTCTGGAAGGGCAGGTGAAGACACGGAACAAGCACGTGAGTAAAGGAAGCCAGCCATCAGGAAACGCTTGCCCACCCCTGGCACTCAGGGAGGTAAAGCTAAGCAGCCTCTCTGTTAAGGGTCCATTAAGAGGTCTTTTCTTTCAAAAGAAAAGAGGTGCCGTGGCTGATCAGTGGACCCATCTCTGAGCTGGTTCCTTTTGAAGGGCTGGGGAGGCTCCCTGGCTGGTGGACCAAGTGACAGTCCCCATGGCTTTGGGGTCTCAGGGGAGCCTGACTTCTCAGGTCCCCACCAGCTCTCTGCTGTGCCCACCTCTAAAGGCAGCTGGGATGGAGCTGAAGGGAGGGGTGGGCCAGCGCCATTCCCTGATGAGTAGAGGGAGACCCCAACTCTCCAAGCAAGCACCCAAGGCCCTCCTACCTCCCGAGTGATCTGCTTCCGTGTCCATGGTCCATCCATCCTCAGCCCCCAAGTCTGACAACTCCCCCTTCAGCACCCCATTGCTGAAGGGCTCAGAACTGTCTGGCAGCGATGGGCTGATGGCTTTGTCCCTGGGGCTTGAGTTGGTCTCTGTGCAGGAGTCTTCAAGCCCTGAAGTGCTGGCGGAATCTGAGCACTGGCCTGAAGAAACCACTGATTGGACACTCTGGCTGTTGTCTGACATGCAGGTGACACAAGTGGCATCTTCCCTCAGGATGCTTGCCTTGTCAACTGACTCTCCCTGGAGGGTGGCTGGTGGTGGGCAGGGGGCCAGGGAGATGTGGTGTGCGGAGTTCTTTGGCTTCTCGTCCTTGGTGGGGCTGGACATAGGGCTGCTCAGGCAGCTCACATAGGTCTTTGGTGGTGACAGGTCCTCTGCCTCTGCTGGCAGGTCTGGTGAGGCAAGGGTGGTAGCTAGTGGGCCAGCAGCAGACCCTTCTGTGGCTGTAGCAGGCTCGGCAGCATCCTGCCCCAGGACAGTTTTCCGGCTGACTGGGGCACAGCTCTCATCTTTCTGCCCTTGAGACTGAGTGGCTGAGGTCTGATCCTCCCAACCTGCAACCTTGCCTTCTGTGGTGGCTAGCACCTCTTCAGTTGCTTCCAACATCACCTGGGAGATGATCTGGAAGGCGGCCTGCTCAATCTGTTCATTTTTGTCCAAAGTCTCCTCTTTGCCCAGCTCTCCAGTCAGGTCTTTGTCCTGGGCTTTGTCACCTGGGGCCTGAGTTAGCTGGGTGTCTTCCTCCTTAGCCAGCTCTAGACGAGCAGACTCGATGACACTACTTAGCAACTTTCCCACCATGCACTCAGCTATGCACTCTTCACACTCTTTGTTCTGCACGGGCTTGCCCACTGGGGGAAAGTCACTGCTTCCCTTCTCTCCCCCACCTCCTGAGGGGGCCAGGCTGAGGGCCTTGTTGCTCTCCAATTCTAAGAGACACTCCTGGGACAACAGACTTTCTTCAAGAACATTCTCTCCCACCACCACTGCATCGCCAGTCCCCTCAGCACCACCTGTCTCTCTTGCCTTCTCACCAGTGCCATGCTTCTCTGTGGGAGCCACAGACTGGGCAGACAAGCCCCTCCCTGGCACCCTGCTAAACACAGACTCTCGCTTACACACTTCAGCTGCTTCATGGGGAAATGGTACATCCTTTGGGGATGGACGGGGACATTCAAGAGGAATAGATTTGGCTTCGTCACCCATCAGTGCAAGTTCCACCTTTGCACTGTCATCTCTGCGTGTTCCTGACTGTGATCTTATGTCTGTGGTGTTAGGGAGGCTGGCCGAGGACTCTGATCTGCGACGGACTGGGTGCACCTGCAACAAGGCTGGAGGCTCTGCAGAAGGTCTGCTTTCAGTGAACTGTTCCTTTTCTAGCAGCTGTGTGACACTGGGAGGCATGGCGATGACTCTAGGACAGACCTCTTCCGTAGGGAGCGCTTCCTTGTGGCCAGCCCTCAGTGATACAGCACCAGCCTCTACCGGCTTATCATTGCTGCTGACCTGCTCTTTTTTACGAGAGAAAAACCACCACCAGCCGAGGATCACCAACATCCCAGGAAGTGCCAAGGGGAAGAATGAGCGGAATTGGATTGCCATCCTGGAAGTGTGAAGTAGTTATGCCTGGGGAGAGTGGAAGAAGAGGGAGAGGGGGGTGTTATGATGACCAGGTAAGAGGGTACAGGCACTGTACACTGACATGGTGCAGTACCTTATTTGGCATTGGATTCTGTTGCACAGACAACAAATGTAAATGCTTTAGCATTCTCTGTGGGTCTTCCATTCCATAGAGGTTGGGAACCTCTGCTCTAGAACTTGGCTTCCCATAGACAGGGGCACTGATCACCACCACCAGGTAGTCTCCTGGAAATGTAGCACATCAGCCCCATCCAGACCTACTGAGTCAGACGTGCAGGGACACTGTAAGCACAAACAGTTATAATGAATGCTAGATGTGATGTGCCCAAAGTGGTGGGGATGAGGGGAAGGGGGGTCATCTCTGGAGAGTTCTTCCACCTTTAAAGACAAACCTCTTTGCTAATATCTGAAGATGGAGCAAAGAGATTGGAAAGTGCAGAGCAGGCCTAGGCAGTGGCCAGGGCTCAGTCACCCCTCTGTGTGACTTTAAGGATGCTACCAAGCCAATGATGGCTCCAGATTGAAACAGGTAACCTTGGTAGGTACTTTCCCTTGTATAACTTAACCCTCAATCACCTGGTTTGGCTCCTGAAAGTTAAAATAACTCATGGAGTGAGAACGGAGCTTCTATTCCACATTGAATGTGGACCCACCAGTTAGTGGATCCATAGGGAACATACACTTCATGGGCCAAGAAAAAGCCTCTCTGGAGAACTTTAGTAGGAGGTCTTCAAAACTTTTCGAATACACCCTGTGACCTAGAGATCTCATACCTGTAATCTCCAACAACAAAGAAATCAAAACCAAAACAAACATACGCCTCTGTGTCGGCAAAAGTCTATATAAGCATGCTCACCAGGGTTATCATTTGAAACAAATTTGGAATTAACCTTCCAGGGAAATCACTGCTAATTACACTGTTGAATCCATGGATATACTGGTGTTATATCCATGTATATCTCATGTACTGACATCAAGAAAGCGTAATATAGAAAACTCGTTATAGACCACCATGTTTGTGCTGTTTATGCCCATATAACCCCATGGAAAACTGGAAAGGACACATACCAGGTTATCCAGTTGGAGGAAAGGGGAGGATTTTGCAAATATAATTTGTGTTCTGCAACCTTGACGAGCTAATTTATTAGTTCTGATAGTTTTTCACTAGATGACTTGGTATTTCTTAACTACAAATAGAGAAAACTTTCTGTAACAGTGGTTCTCCAACTTGGATCCACATTAGTATCACTAGGGAAGCTTTGTTTTTAATTGGTTTTTGAGACAGGGTCTCACTATGTAGTCCAGGGTGGCCTTAAACTCATGATCCTCTATCTCATCCTCCTGAGAACTGGGATCACAGGCATGAACTGGGATCAAGGCACCACCATCCTTGGCTAGGGGAAGTTTTTAAACACTCAAGGCCTAGGTGGCACCCAAACCAATTAAATCAAAATCTCTGGTGAGCAAGTATCAGTACCAGGTTTTGTTTTTATTTTGTTTTAATTCCATGTGATTCTGACATGCAGTCAAGTTTGAGAATCACTGTTCTGTAACATCCCACAACCAAAAAAGATTTAAGGAGATTTGTTCTGTACTTGCAGAAGACCGAAGACAAATCTGAAATGGGAAGGGGAAAAGGGGGCTCAGGATAGGCAGGGAGCACACAGGAGGGCCCTGCCCAACAGGAAGTGGAGATGGAGAGTGAGCCAGATTCTCACCTGGCCATAAACTCAGACTGATTCCTTTCTACCCAAGCAATCCCTTTTAAGCAGGGTCTATATAGTTGTGATTCCCACAGAATTCTAGCAATTCTCTGGTCTCAGGAAAAAGTTTAAATGGAATGGGGTAAAGAAAAAATATCCTAACAGCCACCCTTCCCATTTAACACACAAAGGGCCCAAGGCCACCGATTGAGGTATGTAGGTGTAAGAGTGGGCCTATTACCCAAAAATGCCAACTATAAGGAACTCCATCCTCCCCTCCTAACTTAAGTTATCTCAGGAGTCCTGCCTTTCCAGCTGGGACTGGTCACCCCATTCAGCCTCCCAAAACCCTAGAAACTGGCCACACCACAACATGAGAAGCCCAACACACATGTGCACTCCAGCCTGGCTTTGGACCTGCACTCTGGGTGATCCACACTGCAACCTGGATCCTGGGCTCCCATCCAATGCACCTGCAGTTCCCAGTCATGGCTCAGACAGAATGCCCAGAACCAGAACCTGGGCTATAACCCACACCCTAGCAACCCTACCCACTCTCTGAAGCATATGAGGAACATCACTACTGCTCACCTACCCCACTCTCCCATCCAGCTTGCTCTTGGGAGGATTATGGCTCTAATCCCTAACACCCCCAGTCTGAGATTACAACTCAGGAAACAAAGTGACTTTCCCTAACCAGACATCCTCTGTAGAATACTGCTAACTAAGATCACCCAGTCCATGTAATCAAGAATGATCCACCTGGATTTGCAGTGCTCACCACTCCCCAAACTCCAATCCTTGACTCTGGGCTAGAGCCAGAGACCCAGTGCCAAAGCCTGTGCTTCTGGGTAGAGAGTGGCTTACTACGAAGTCCTTCTCCCCAGGATTGCTTCCAGGCATAGGAACCAGATAGGTGAGAGGAGAACAGGGTTTATTTTTTCCTTGCTACCTGGGCAGTTTAATTAGATGGGAGCCATCCTCCAGAAAGAACAAAGACCCTGGGCTCAGCAGCTGCCTGTCCAAGGCCTTGGTTGCAACTCACCAAGCCTAGCTGGGTCTTGCTAAGGGGACTACTGCTGGGTGGCATCTCACAAGAGGTTCCCAATTGTGGCAACTGACACCCCTCTACCAGCCTCCACTTGCCACCAGTCAAGAAAACATCTTGCCCCCTCACTTCCTTATCACTAAGCCAGTCTCACATTAAAGAGTCATCTTGGGAATTGGAAAGAGGCCATTTCCCGGATTTACATGGCCTGACAGGCCTACAAGAGGTGGCATAAGTTTCACCAACCTTCCCTGAATGCCTAGGCAGAGCCACCTGTGCGTGCACAGGTGCACACATACCCCACTTCAGCATCACAAGGCTTTCTCTGCTACCTTCCTTCCTCTCTGGCAGACCCTTATAAGTTACTGTCTTTGTCTTGGACATTTTCTCTTATTTTTGTTTTTAAACCTGAACCTCCCAAGATTCAACTCCAGGTTCAAGTGCACTACAGGTCCCAAGCCTCTACCCTCACAAACTAACTGGAGGCTTCAGTCTTCTCCCCAGCACGAGACAGGCCACCTGCAGCCAAGGAAAAGCCTCCCACACAGATGCTGCAGGGCTCTGCTCTAGGGTTGGTGGGGAGGACACTGGGCTATTTTGAATCTTTTGGAGTTAAACGGCTGCCTGATTATTTTTAGCAGGTCCATTCGCAAGGAATAGATGCATGCTGGCTCCTTGCCAAGTAGTCACGCAGCGCTGAAGGCAGGCATGTGCACAGCCACAGGGTCTTCACATTCATCTGCTCACTCCAGGTTCTAAACAGATCCCTTCTTTCTCTGGAGGGGTACCTGCAGCTTCTCAGAACAGCCTTTGGAGAATTAATGGCCTCACTCCCAACCCAGCTGACAGACCACTAACTGCAGTCTACAGCCTCCTGCAAAACAAGAAAACAATCCCTGGGAATTGTACAAAAAAGTATTGGTCCCAGTGATGCCAATTTGGCTGCAGCTATTATGAAGAGAGCTAATGGAACTGATGGGAAAGTCAATCATAAAAACAACTGCTTGGGAGCCAAGAGCCCAAATCCACTATGGGCTTGGGCCTGGTCGGAGCCACATCCACTTTGTGTTCCAGATGAACCTTCACACATCCTCTCGATTGGAACTAAACATTTCTCCCATTATCCCAGTGCTCCCCACTAGGAGGGTGCCTGCCAGGGACCCTCCAGCTGCAGTGAGGCCCAGCAAGTACTTTATGAAGGCTTTTCTCAGGGCAAGGGAAAAGCACTAGAAGCCCAACTCCTCAGCTATCTCCTGCCTTTGGTAGGAGTTTGGAGAGGAGGAGCACACTCTCAGAGTTCCTGGCCCACTTCAAATGTTTATACCAGAGTGTCTTCCTAATTCCTCATCAGATCACTAACAGTCACTTGCCTTCCTCAGGTAAATCTTTGTAAGTTGCTACAAGATGGAAGGCTCCATCTCTCACTCACTCACATTCACCGCCCCCTCCCCCCACCTCCTGCACCATAAACTCCCAAGTAGGCAGAGAGCCTAGGAGGTTTTCTCAAAGAAAGCCAGGATTTACTTAGGTTACAATGACATTAATTAGGGCACTAATGCCTTTAAGGGTGGGAGAGGGCAGTGCATCCTAGAGCACAACTGGAGGGAAGCTAAGGAGCTGGTAAGGGATGAGACACAAGAAATTTGACCCTTCCAGTCAAGGCAATGGGAGCCATACCAAGTGGCATAGCAGCCACCTGGTCAAAGTGAAACAGGTCACCAGAGGTAAGGGCTGGGATGATCCCTCTCTAATAACTGTTGTCCAATATTGGCAGTCACTTAGTCAGGGGGTTACTGAGCACTGGAAATGTGACAAGTGTAACTGAGGAACTGAATTTCTAATTTAACATAAGGTTAATTTAAATAGCCACATGCAGCTGGTAGCTACTTACTAGATAGTCCAGACCCCAAGACTCATGAGGGCCTGACCAAGGCTGCAAGGGGGGCACCTACCTGGCTAGCGGTCCTGCCAGAGGGTGGGGCTGATGGTGAGCCTGGGCTACTCTCCCAGAGCAGCATGGCTGGGCCAGGAATCACAGTGGAGGAACCATGCCTCAGATATGCTGGTCACGGCCCAGGCCCAGGGTTCTCTTCATCCTTGGGGACCTAAGCTAGTTAACTCATGAGGGTACCCTCAAGATTCCATATTAGCTCACAGTGGGGCTGTAGGGCCTGTTCAGGACTGTCCCCACGCCCTCCATTGTGATAGCCCACAGCAGCAAGCCAGCAGTGCAGCCAGATAGCTGCACTCTGGAGCCACTGCTGCCCTTCCTGATAGACCAATGTCAGGACATCACAGAACATGTCTTGCAGAAGAAGGGCCAAGGCTTAACTCAACATCTGGGTAGAGGACTTGTTCAGTGAAGCTTCTCTGACCAAAATGGAAAATGTGTCTAGAACCAACAGCTCCAGGTAAGAAGATCTGGAAGCCAAAAATCCCATCTCTGGAAATGGTTTCTTCCTCTTCCAGGCTAATTAAATGTTAAACTAAGGTTAGGTATGGTAGCTCATACCTATAATCCTAGCCATTCAGGAGGCAGAGATAGGAGGATTGAGGTTTGAGGCCAGTGGGGCAAAAAAAGTTAGGAGACCCTATCTCAAAGAACAAGCCAGGGGTGATGGTACATGCCTGTCAATCTTTGGAAGCAGAAGTAGGAGGAGGCCAGCCTGGGAAAATCTGAAAAACAAATAAAGTAAAAAAGGGTTGGGGGTATGGCTCAAGTGACAGAGCATCTGACTAGCACAAAGCCCTGAGCTCAAACCCCAGTATGGCCACAAAAATGAACAAACAAATAAATAAATACATAGAGAGTTAAACTCCCAGTTTGGAAAACCTGGTAACAAAGGGAACCACACAACTTAAGAGTGCCAGCCTCACTCCTCTCAAGTAATGGGGGAAACTCAGCCTACCAAGGTCTTCCAACTGCTTCCCCTGGGGACAAAGATTCTGAAGACTCCATCCAACACCCTGTTCCTCATCCCAGGCTCTTGGCAACCACATGCTTTACAAGTGAATTCCGTCAGGCTCCTGAGATGGCAAGAAAGCAGATGCAAGAAAGTACTCCTGGGTACACGGAACCCTGTCTGAAGCCACAGAAGACACCATATAGGACTGACTGCCCAAAAGGTGTAAAGCAGTGGTCTAACAAGCACACTTCAAAGCCAGTAAAGATGACATGAACCTTCACAAGGAATCAGAAGTGGTTTTTTGCCACTTGGTGAGTGGCAAAGACCCTCCTCACCACCACCTCCAGCAGGCTAGGTAAGATTCCCCAAACCACAGCCTATACAATACCATAACCATTTTTATCACATAAAGACATAAGAGAGTGGTTCCTATTCAACAAATAATTTATTGGCACCTACAGGTTATCAAATGCTGGGAAGAAATGAGTAAGATAAGGCGTTGCCCTTGAGGGACTTAGAATCTTTCAGAGCCTTGCGGGGAAAAAGCCATGACCTCTACTGCAACGAGCTTGGTATGCTGCCCTCTGCCTTTGGCCAACTGAGTGATTGGTACAATACACAGATAAGTGCTGGCCATGGGGAACAAGCAGGAAACAGGGTGTCAGGTGACCCAGACCCAAGGATGTTTGAATGTCCTGGGGCGGTGATGAGAGGATGTAAGGCTGGATGACTAGCATCATAGAAGCCAAAGAGAGTTGGGTTGCTCCATCCAATATGCAGACTTTCACTCAATAGCCCACTTTTCACACCACTTGGTGCCAAATCCAGATTCCCTTCTCCTTTATGACCTCCAAAAAGTCATAAAAGCCCCTCTTCTGGTCCCCAATCCCATGTTGAGCTAATGCATACCTTCAAAGGTATCTGCCTTGCTGTACTTATCAGCTTGGTTCTTATTGGCCATTCACATATCCTCAGCAGCAATTACAGGATGTGTTCCATCAAGAAAGGAGAGGAAAACAGATCCAAGAAGGAACGCAACAGAAAAGAAGGAAATTCCCAGCAGGACAGGGAAGCAAAACCAGCAGAAAGGGATACATCCCAAAAGCAACACGGAACTCCAAGAAGCCCTGGTATGTTCGACCACATGAAGAGGAGCGTCCCACCAATGGCATACACTCTACAGCAATGGTAGAAGCTCAAGGGAGAGTCAGGGAACTGGTGAGGGAATCCAAAGCAAGCAAAAGAAGGGCCAAGTGTGATGGTGCACATCTATAATCCCAGCACTCCAGGTTCAAGGCCAGTCTGGCTACATGGCATGTTCCAAGACCAGACTCTGTCTCAAAGAAGAGAGAGAGAGAGAGAGAAGATAACTAACCAGGAGAGAAGGAAAGAGGAGAACATACATACATAAAAACAAAAACTTTGCAGCCATAGACAACATTTATATCATAATGTATACTCTGAATAGCAACTTGTTCAAAAATTGTGCTGCTTTCTGCACTGGGAGGAGGAAGGAAGAAAAAAGTGTAGGAATGAGCAAAGTCCTTTTCTCTCAGAGTAGAAAAGCAAATCAGATAATACTTTCTAAAAAAGAAAGCAAGCATAAACTCTTTTCAAAGAGGTAAGCCGGGTGCTGGTGGCTCACATCTGTAATCCTAGCTACTCAGGAGGAAGCAATCAGGAGGATTGTGGTTCAAAGCTGGCCTGGGGAAATAGTTCATGAGACCCTATCTCAAAAATACCCAATACAACAAAAATAGGGCTGGCAAATGGCTCAAGTGGTAGAGTGCCTGCCTAGCAAGCAGGAGGCCCTGAGTTCAAACCCCAGAACCACCTTTAAAAAACAACAACAAGGAAGCTGCTGGGCTCTTTGCAGAGTTTCGCGTTTCTGGAAGCCTAGTACCCTCACTCTTAGGATGCCACGTGGAGGCCGAAGCCGCACCTCCCGCATGGCCCCTCTGGCCAGCCGGGCCCCTCATATGAGAGCTCCACCCAGGCCAGCACCTGCAGCTCAGCCACCAGCAGTGGCCCCAACTTCTGCAGTTGGAGCACCTGTGGCTGCGCCCTGGCGGCCTGGGCTGATGGCCCAGATGGCAACCACTGCAGCTGGCATGGCTGTGGACTCTGCTGTTGGGCATGCATTGGGTCATGCCGTCACTGGGGGCTTCAGTGGAGGTGGAAACGCTGAGCCCTCCAGGCCTGACATCACTTACCAGGAGCCCCTGGGAACCCAGCCGGTGCAGCAGCAGGAGCAGCAGCCTTGCTTTTATGAGATAAAACAGTTTTTAGAGTGTGCCCAGAACCAGGGTGACTTTAAGCTCCGTGAAGGCTTCAATGAGGTGCTGAAACAGTGCAGAATTGCAAATGGGTTAGTGTAACCAAGAAGCTCAAGTGGAATTGAAGATTGCCTCTGATGACCAAGTTCATTTAACATCAAAATACAATAGTGAAACGTAGAGTGTAAAATCACAATAAACCTCTTCTTAATAACCTCATGGCTTCAGAGTGGCCACAGAAGAGGGTGTTGTACCTGTATAGTTTCCACTGACATGATATAGAGTTTGGGACTGGCAAGTGTTTGTGTGGCTTCCTTAAACAGACTGTTTTGATGTTATTTTGAGTTAATTAGAATAAAGTGATTTTCTTCCATGGAAAAATAAATAAATAAAAATAAAAAACAACAACAACAAAAAAGAGGTAGATATAGCTGGGAGGACAGCTAATAAAATTAAAGATATCTGCCATGATAAGAGAACAGGAGTGGTACACACAGGACAAAGAACTGTCCTTTTCTATCTTTTTGTTTGTTTTTTATTTATGTATTTCTTTTGTGGTAGTGGGGATCAAACCCAGGACTTCATGCATTCTAGGCAAGTGCTCCACCACTGAGATACACTGCCAGCAAAAGACTGTCTTTTCAAATCTTTTGCATAGTCAAAAAGTCAAATCTGATTGGGGATGTAGCTCAATTGTAAAATGCTTGCCTAGCATGTGCGAGGCCTTCAGTTCCATCCCTGGCACTGCACAAAAAATAAATAAAAGTTTAAAAATCAAATCTTTCTATAAGAATCCTTTGGAGAGTTGGGGGAATTAGATAGTTTCACTATGTAGCCCAAGCTTCTACTGCCACCACCTTCCAAGTGTTGGAACTACAGGGGTGCATCATTGTGCCCAGGTGCAAAGCAAATTCATTCTTAAGCCATATACAATAGGGATGGATGCTCTATCACAAATTGCTTCATGTATTTCTTGTTAACCACAATAGATATTCATTAGTGTCAACACATCTACATACGAACTTGTAATGTTTTCTCATAATTGAAGGCAATTTTGTTTCTCATACCTCCAAACTGGCCTGGTGATATAACAGTGATAATCAAGAGAACATGCCTACTGATTAACCTCTCAGGAACCAAGGCAACAAACAGTCTTCTCACTCTACTGAGGGCTAGCTAGCATCAGGGACCAGGAACCCTCAAGGCCAGTCATTAATAAAGATGTTAATAATAGCCACTATGAACCAGGTTCCAGGGGGGACACAAGGAAGAGAACTCAGGAAGCAAAGATAAAGGGAAGGGAAGGGCAAGGACTTAAATTTCAGATAGGAACATATTCAACAACTTACTGCATCTCCCACTGGTTGAGAGAGCTCACAGAGCCCCAAGGCACCCCCTGCATGTACTGAATTAACTACAGCTCTGTGCTAATAGAAAGGCAATGGGGAGGATTGGGAGGACTGAGAGGCAGTCCCTTAGCCCTGGGGTTTAGATGAGAAAGGCTGGAGAGGGTATGTGGAGGGGAAGCTCTAGGCAGCAGGGTGAGGGGAGGCCTCTTGGAAGAAGTGGCATCAGAGCCAGCACAGTGAGGAGCCATGCCAGGATGTGGGGGGAGGCAGGAGGGAAAAAGAGAGAAAGTTCCAGGCAGGGAGAACATGTGCCAAAGTCCTAAGGCTGGAACAAGCTTGGCTGACTCAACAGACTGCAAGAAGGAGAGGCCAAGATGGGGTCAGAGTACTGCTGCCAAAGAAACGGCTCCGGCATCCCCGCAGAGGCAGAGGCAGCACGTAGGGGAGATCTGGACCCACCAGAACTCTGAGGAACTGAGCTCAGCAGAACTCCTCCAACGGGGAGACTGATTGGCCCCAAGAGCCAAGGGGTTTTTTTCTTAATTCACAAACTGAAGCTGCTTCTAGAACCTATTCCAGAAACAAGATGCACCTGGTGAGGAAAAAGTGTACATGTGTGTGAATGCTCTGCATGGAAACTACAAACGGGCTCACTTTTTTGAGTCTCAGGAAACGCTTGCCAGATAGGCCTGCCAACACACTACACGTTAGTTGGACCCTTATGTTCTGCTCCCCACCCTTGAATGGATCTGCTCCAGTATAGAGGCAGCTCAGCCCCTGGAGGCGGGCACTCACTTGCCTGCAGTCCCACTTTTTTGAATCAGACTGCAAAAACAACCTCTCCAGCTAAGCCATAGGCAACAGAGGGCCTTATATGGCTTGAAGCTTTCTTAATCAGAAGCAGATAGATGGGCTGGAGTTGGCAGCTCCAAGGTAGAAGGAAAGAGGAAACAGAAAAAAAAAAAAAAAAAAAAGGAAAAGAGAGAGAGAACAAAGTGTGGCATGGGGAACAGGCAAACTTGTTCGTCAAACTCCTTTTTCATCCCTTTACTGCCTCAGTGCTTCCCAGGAAAGAATTCCTACTGGGGGCAAGGCTTTGCCTCCTCCTGTGCTTGATTTTGGTTTAAGCCAAAGGACAGCTGTAATCAACCTGGGAGTCAGTCCATGCTTTAGAGGTTATTGTGCCCATTTAGGGACCAGCCCTTAGGTTGGGAACTTCACAGGAAAATGGGCTTCTATGGTTTCTTGAGAAATCAGCTGCATGGGTACCATGGGGTCCTCATTCTCCAAGGCAGCACCTCTCCCTAGTTCCCCAGCTCACTGACTGCCTCAGATCAGTCACATGCCTGCCTGGCCCAGGAGGTGGAGTTGGGCCTGCCCAAAAGAGACCCAGAATAGAAAAGGCAGCCCAAGACAGTTTAAGCTACTACCTCTCCATAGCCCATGGCATTTTCTAGGGTGGTTTTATTCTCTTCCTCCCTGATTAGGTGACAGCAGTGGGACTCGGCAGCCACATGCACTTGGCTCTCCTAAAGGATGCCACCTGCTAAAAATAGCATCAGCACATGTTTGGCAGAGTGGGCCATACCAAAGTCAGAGGACAAAGCCCAGAGGTCAATCTCAGCACTCCCTTTTCTGCCAGAGCTGGCTCAGAGTGCATGCAAGAGCTGGTCTCCCTCCAAGGCAGTTTGAGGAGTCAATCCAGCTCCTTCTTTGCATATCTGTCCTCATAGATGGCACACCCAGGTCATGGCTGAAGAAGAGGGTGGGAGGCTGTGTTTGAACCCATCTTACAGCCTCCTCCAAGCAGGACCAGGCTACTCCTGGGTGACAGCGTGTTGAGGGCCAGTGGATGGTCTCATGACCTCCTTGTGAGGTCTGACAGGCCATGTTATTATTAGTTAGGGAATGAGTGACTTCAAGGTCAACCTGCTCAGTCTTCAAGGTAGTTTCCAAGACCCTGAGGCACAGCTACAAAGTCTACTAGGCTTTTTTTATTCATAGTCACTACTTGTGCATTTCAAAGGTACATTTCCCAGATGAAAACAGGGCTTTAGAAAGAGTAAAAAAAGTGTAGAATTATAGCACAAAGGACTGGGTTCAATCCAGCACCACAAAACAAAAAGCCAAAAATAAAAGGGTAGCAGCATCAACTTCAGCTTCCTGCAAAAGAATAACTTCCTTCACAGGGTAGGTCCAAAGCCAGCCCAACCCTCCTAACTTACCCTCCTCAGGGTCTCAGTTCCAAACTAGAGATGCTTACCATTTAGGGCTGAGAGGAGAAAAACCAGTGTGGTTAAAACAACTCTCCTAGACAGGCACAGTGGTGCACACCTGCAGTCCCAGCTATGCAGTACACTGAGGCAGGAGGATCACTTGAACTTAGAAGTTTGAAGCCAGCCTGAGCAATATAGCAAGACTCCATCTCCAAGTAAATAACAAAAAAGAAAACAATCCTACTAAAATGTCAACAGGTGCTCACTAAATATCTGCTATGTGTGCTACCACTGGCTCTAAGGAAAGGGAGGTCTCACTGCACACCAAAGTCCAGTCTAGCATGGCTCAAACACAGCACACATGATGGGCTCTTGGAAATAAAGCCAACACTCCCAGACTCACACCACACACCCACACTTCAGGATCTGCACTGTGGCCCCAGTCTCCCGTCTTCTATAGAGACATTTAGATGGACTGCAGGTACAGAGTGAAAATGTTGAGCGCCCAGACCCCATCCTGGGGTCCTGGAGGGAATTAGCAGGTCAAGTAGCATATCTGTGACATCTGACCTTTGGAGACCAAGGACAATGAGCACACATTGGTGATACGCAGGCTCTCAAACCAAATGGGCTATCTAAGGGCCAGGCTCTTCTTCCTCATGCTGTGTCCCCAAGCCCCCCTCACTAAGCTCCTCTCTACACTATCTCATAACCATTGACTCCCTTCCCAACTGTAGACCAGGACTTGCTTCACATGCCATGGAGAGAACAGATACAAAAATAACTTGTCACCAAAGCTGTTGGGTTTATGGACTATGAAGACTAAGTTCAAACATGTGATACTTTACAGACATTTACAAGTTGGGGCAATTAAACTTTTAGAGTTGGGCAAAGAACATTCTAAACCAGTGCTGTCCAACAGAACTTTCTATGATGATGAAAATGTACTCGACCTGCACTGTCCCAGACACATCCCTCCAGCAGCCCCAAGGAACATAACTGAATGTCTTTAACGTTCATTGACTCTCCCATACCAGTTGAAGAAACTGAAGACCCAATAGGCCAGGTTTTAGCCTGAGCACTGTGTCAAGGTCAGGGACTCTTGCCAGCTGAGCACAGTGGGGAAACAAGCCTCATCCTCTGAGCTTTGCATACCTTTACTTCCAGAATTCACCTCACACTCAGCTTTGTAGTAAACACAACCAGCCAGCATTATAGGATGGGAACTACTGAGACTACCAAACAGAGCCACAGAAATATCCAAATGACAAGAACCCAGACAGGATGAATTCATGCACCACTGATTAAGAAGAGGAAAAGAAAGTTAAAGAAAAGGAGCTGGGCTTCAAGGCACATATCTGTTATCCCAGAGACTGAGGCAGGAGGATCGACAGTTCAAGGCCAGCCTGAATTATAGTGAGACCCGTGTGTCAAGCAAAAACAATAACAAAAGTTAAGCGAGGGCTGGTGAAGTGGCTCAAGTGGTAGAGCACCTGCCTAGCAAGCCTAGCAAGTGTAAGGCCCTGAATTCAAGCCCCAGCACCACAAAAAAAAAAGTTAAGGTAAAGGACATCTTGAAAATTACTTATTGCTGGGAAGTCGGTCCTCAGAATGCCGGAAAATAACACACTGCAACAGTCTATAGAGAAAGCAGCAAAAAATTGGGAGAAAGCCTAGGAAATGTACCTTGGTTCTTCTCACAAAACCTTCCAGAGGACACGTCCAACCCTACACTTGTTAGTTTCTACACCCCTCAGTTTGCACTTCTGTTCTGGCCATTCAAGCAATCCAGAATGACCTCCAGCTTCACCCTCAGCCTCCATTGCTCTCTCTGAGACTCGGGGGAGCATGAGGATTAAAAGATTAAGGGGATGCTCACATGCAGCTGACCTCACAGAGAACTGTTAAGGGACAGACCAGCATCCTCAGCATCCTAGTTCCCACACTCCCAGGAGCTACTTCTCAGCCAGACCGTGTCCTACTCCAAACATGCTCTCAGCCCCAGCCTTCCACTGCCCAAGTTTAAAATGAGGTGCCAGGGCCAACATGCTCACTCAGCAGGGTGCCATATACAAGGACAGCATGATGTTAAATACTCATTAAGTGAAACCTGTGTGAAGTACTATGTCAGGGAGGGATGTAGGAGAAACAAAACTTGCCACAGGAAGCAAGGTTCAGGACTAACACATATCCCCACTATACAGATGAGCAAACTCCTACAAAGTATGAGATGATTTTAGTGGGCCTAGGGACCCAGAAATCCCAGCACCTCCCCTAGAAAGACTGATCACAGGTATTTACCCATACCAGAAACCACAACAGGAATACAAATCAAGGTGCAGAGAGGCCCAGGCATGGTAACCTCACAAGGAAGATTAGGAAAGGAGTGGCTGGGGAAAACAGGCCAGCTCTCTAGGCACATGGGCTGTAAGCTGCCTGCTCTTCAGTGCCCTAAAATGCCAGCTTGATCAAGACATCCTGACCCGGGAGACTAGGCTGCAAATTGTGGGGAAACCAATTTGTCTACCTTTTTCCTCTTTTCCTTCCAACCAAGTAACTAGGTCAGAGGCTAAGGGGAGCAGTACTCATAATAAAATTCAAATCATTCAAGTGATTCAAATGAAAGTTAAAGGAGACACAGGGATTCCTTGGGGGGGCGGGGGGAGAACTGCTTAAGTACCTATCATGTACCAAGCAGTCTCAACTCACACATAGGACTTCTATTCTTCTTTAGGATGAGAAAGGGAACACTGTGGAAGCTATGACCAGTCTGTGTCCTAAGCCCAAGAATAATCTGAGTTACCAGGTGACAGGACAAATTGCTTTAAAATATTGATGCTCAGCCACCTCATACTAGAGGTGCATCACCTTCAGCATCTAAGCAGGTCACTTACAACAGGTACCTGTATCTCAGCTGTCATCTTGCAGTGACCAAGTGTGAATGCATTTTCTACAAACAGTTGGGAGGCAGGAGAGATTCCTACCTGAAGACTCCACCTGCACACATCTACTAGCCAGGTCTCACTCAAGGGGTTAGAAGGCTTACCAGAACAACCTTCATGACAACAAAGCCTATTTAATTCAGAAATTGACTGAAGCTTTAGTGATCTGCATGCCTGTAGGATACAAAGGACTTCCTCTAACCTAGGGCCATATTGTACAAGAGTACACCCAGGGATTATTACCCAGTACCTATAAAACTAGATAGAGGTGAAAGAAGAAAGGTTCAACAGAGCCAAAAATCTCCCAAAGCAGAACTTTACTTGATTCCAGGGCTCAGAAAGAGCCTTAAATAATCAGCAGGTGAACCACTTGAATTCCAAGAACAAAAGAATTAGATAAATGATCAAGTTATTCAGGCCTTTTCAAGAATATTCTGTACCTTTAAGAGCACAGTGGCTAAATGGAGCTAACAGTCCAAGCTTTGCTTTCTAAATAAAGTTAAAAGTTAAAAAAAACAAAGATACTAATTTGGGAAGGACTTAGCAGCTAAATGAGCATGTAAGGTTATTAACTGCCAGAAGTAATAGCTTTTGGTGAACAGTAATTGCGACATGGAAAGGTAGAGTGAGGTTGCAGACCAACTAACAGACATGGTTGCCTCAGGTCCAGCAGCCCAGATTTCAATGCAGGAGTTAAATTTAAACACAGAGCAGCCTACACTCCAGTAGGGGGAAAGACAGGCAGTTTAACATCACTAATTGCCCTGCACATACACTCTACCCTACTGGGCTTGAGAGGCCTCCACCCGCACCTGGAGCGAAGTCCACCGGGTTTGTGTTAACCACAACTCAGGTATAGAAAGCTCCTGTCGCCCTAAGCATCCCCTTGGGAGAGGAAGGTCCTGCAATGCCCAGGGTTTCCCTGAGGTCCAGGTCGCTTCCGCACAACCCATTATCATCAGTACATTTCCTTTCTTATTCTCCCTGGGAGAGGAAACGGGAAGAACCATAACCTACCACACAAAATAGCTGAACACGGGAAAGCCCGCCCCTTGGCCTCCCCAAGCACATTTTTACCTATAACTCCGAAGCCTGTGCGGTCTCTCCAGATCGCCTGCGGGGGCGCGGGCGGTGCGCGACACATGACCCCCTGGAACCACCCCCCCAGGCGTGAAGTCAGCGGGCACACGGGGCTGTCACGGACACGCTTAAGGAGACTACAAATGCTGACACTGGAGACACCCAAGCCCTCGACCTCCGGACACCAACCCTCCGCCGCAAACACGCCTCGGGTCTCAGCTGTCTTCCTGCCCATTCACCCCGCTCCACCTGCCAAACCCTCAATACTTAGTCCCCCGCAATGAACTCCAGGGGCTGGACTACCTGCTCAGTTTGGCACTGCCGCCGGACCAACCCGGGGGACGAGACAACCCGACCCAGAAGTTAGGTGAGGCTCCAGAAGTAACCAATCCAACTCCTGTCCTCAGCAGGGGAAGGGGTCTCCAAGGAGCTTGGGCAGACGACCTCGCCCTTCAGAGCACCTGGCCCTGCCCACAACCCGCCCAGCCGAACGTCTCTCCGAGTTCAGACTGGGTACACACGACCTTTGAAAAGTAAATGCGAGTGGGGCTGGGCGACCTTGGGTGGGACGCGCTCTGATCCGCCTCACGGGCGGGTGTGCGCGCTCGGGGAAAGTTAAGGCGCGGTGGGGCGTCCCAGGCGTCGCGTCCTCGCCCTCGCCCCAGAGGGCGGTGACGCGCGTGGGGGGAAAGCCACAGCTCCGAGCGCCGCCCCGAGCCACGCGCACGCGATCTGTCATCCGGAGCCCGCGGGCACACAACCTGGCGGGGTAGGAGGACCAGGGGGCGCGAGGGCCAGGGAGGGCAAGACTTGTCTGTCCGACAACGGCACGCTCCGCGTCCTAAGTCTCCGTCCCCGGGGTACCTGGCGCGCGCGTCACACCCTGCACCTGCACCCCAGGATCGCCATCACCCCGACGGCTGTCCCTCAGGGCCCGGCAGGGGTCCGCTGGCCAGCTGCTCGCGACAGCCTCAACTTACCGGCTCCTCAGTGACCGTCGGGGTGCAGTGTCCTCGAGGCAACACCACCCCTCAACCCCCGCCTCGCCTCGCCCCTCAGTCCGGCCCCGCGGCGCAGCACCCGGGCCGCTCCCCCACGTGCTCGCCCAGGCCGGGGTAACACAGAGACATTAAATACTGAGGACGCGCAGCGACGTGCCCGCGGCGCGACGCAAAGCCCCGCCCCTCGCCCTGGTGCCCCCGCGTCCCCGCGCCCCCAGCGCCCGCCCGCTCACCTGCGCGTGCGCGCCGCCGGCCTCTCCCTCCCGTACCGCGCGCGCGTCTCCCAGCTGCGCCAGAGGGGGCGCGGTCTGGAGCGCTCCGCTAACATCCCGGAGCCGCCCGGGCCGGCCTTGGCCGTGCTCTCGCGAGAGGAGCTGTAGTCTCGTTGGGCCCGGGAGAGAGGCCTGGGTACCGCACTCACCGCGGGGTGATGCGGCGATCCTTTGCCCGGTCACTGCTGCGCCGGCTGCTCCGTTTCGGACCTGCGCGGTCTCCTGCCTCCGGGCAGAAAGTCCCCTGGAAAACGCCTAGAGGCCGGCGAGGGGCAGGGATCTGTCTTCCCGGTAATCGGTAATCGTCGTAATATCACCCTGCATAATTAAGTGTCATTAATAATTTCATCTATAAGTGTGTACTGTTGGTACCCGGTACCACTCGAATGCAACTTTTTTGCCCATTTTCGTAACTTGATGTTGTCGAAGTAAAACACTCCTCTAAAAAGGCTTGGGTTTTGGAACGATTCCTGAAAGATCGTCCCCATGAGTCACTGCTTCTGCCCGGAACTCTGGAAAATAAATTCCCTCCAGACAATTGGACAGGGTGGAGTTGTGGCTGGCCTGCGGCGCCCTGATTCTTAAGACATAGGGAGCATTTGTTTGGACAAAATATAGAAAAGAGATCATGCTAAGAGCTAACCATGACTTGAGGAAACAATCTTCACTAGAAACCAAATGCGTATTTAAATAACAAAGGCATCATTTGCCTAATGTAAGTTTAAATTCATGTATCTATAAATCCTAACTGCACCATATGATAGGTGTTATGAAGGAAACCAGAAGTAGCTGAAATAGGAGAGAAATAAAAGAGACCTGTTTTAGGTCCTGCAATCAGAAAAGACAGAAGGCGAAATTTTTTATTTTCACTTTTTGGTGGTACTGGTATTTGGGCTCAGGGCCTCACGCTCTAGGCGGGTGGTGCTCTATCACTTGAGCCACTCCCGCAGTCCCAGAAGGTGAAATTTAAATAGACCTGTGAGAAGAGCCAGCCCTACAGAATTACTACGGAACGGATGGGGGTGGGGTAGGGAGAGGAGATAGTCTTCACAGAGGCACAACACAGGCAAAAGCAAGAAACAGCCTGATGCTGCACTCCTGATACTTAAGAAGCGAAGGTCAGCGTGGACATAGGTGAGGAGTCCCTATCTCAAAATCAACAAAGCAAAAAAACTGTAAGTATAGCTCAAGTTGTAGAGTGCTTGCCTCGCATACACAGGTCTTAGGTTCAATCCCCAGTCGCACCAGAAAAAAAAAAAAAAACTTCTAGTGAGCTGGAGGATCATGAAGGGAGCAAGTGCCAGCACAAGGGCTCAGAGATCAGGGAGGAGTTGTTCTTGGGTGGTGTTGGGGGGTGGGTTGTGATGTTTGAGGAGGGAAGGAGAACAGGGTCACATTATAACCCACAGTCAAGCTTAGATTTTATCTTACTCTATTCAGTTCCAAAGTCAGGGCGTGTGTGTGTGTGTGTGTGTGTGTGTGTGTGTGTGCGCGCGCGCGCACTTCTGGGGTCTGAACTCAGGGCCTTGTGCTTGCTAGACCACTGCTCTACCACTTGCGCCATACCCCCAAGCCCTTTTTGCTTTAGTTATTTTTCACATAGGGTCTTGGGCAGGCCTTAGATGGTGGTCCTCCTACCTGTGCCTACCAGTAGCTGGGAAGAAAGGTACACACCACCACACCCAGCTTGTTTATTGAGATGGAGGTCTTGCTAACTTTTTACCCAGGCTGGCCTAAAACTACCATCCTCCTAATCTCCACCTCCCAAGTAGCTGGAATTACAGGCATGAACCACCCTGCCTGATTCACCTTAAGGCCATTGCCCTTGCTATTCACTGCACCTGCAATGTTTTGCAGAGCTCTCTCCCTTACCACTTGCTCAAAGGTCACCTACTTGGCCTCAGTGAAGTCTTCCCTGGACAATTTAAAATTGTAAACACACGGGGTGAATTCAACTATGTTATGTTGTAAGAACTTTTGTAAATGTCGCAATGTACATCCAGTACAATATAAAATATATTATATAATTGTATTACAAAAAATATAATAAAAAAAGAAAAAATGTAAGCACACACACCCAATTCCCTGTCCCAGGCCCCTCTTTGGTTCTCTTCATAGTCCTTATCAATGTCTACTTTATGAGGTAGGAATGATTGAGGGCCTGGCACCTGGATGGTGCTCAGGAAAAATGTGTTTAGTGAATGAATGGGGAACCACCAAAGAGAATTCAGTAGACAGTGACACAATATAATTCCTGCTTTTTTTTTTTTTTGCAGTACTGGTGCTTAAACTCAGGGCCTTCACCTTGAGTCACTCCACCAGCCCTTTTTGTGATGGGTATTTTTGAGATAGGGTCTCCGAACTATTTGCATGGGCTGGCTTTGAACCGAGATCCTCCTGATTTCTGCCTCACTGGCTTAACTTCTACTTTTAAAAGTGAGCCATAGCTGATGTGAAAGTGGACCAGTGGAAGACCAGCATAGAAGCAGGGAGACCAGGTAAGAGGCTATCTATCGCAAATGTTTCAGGTGAGATATGATGGTGCCCCAAGCTGTGGCTCAGTGGCCCTGGGGATGAAGAGACCTCGACTCAAGCTGTATATTGGAAGTAGAGTAACAAGACTCACTCATGTTATTGCAGAAGGGAACAAGGAATAATGATTCCTCTGGTTTGAGTTACTGTGTGAATGGAGAAGAAGATGGGGGCAGAGAAGCATCATTTTATTTTAGAGCCATTAAGTCTGTACTGCTTTTTGTGACATCCAAGTGCAAATAGTATTTTATGTGGATATGCAAGTCTGGAGCTCAGAGGAGAGGTCTGGGTGGGAAATGCAAACAGGTATTGAAAATCATGTAAAAAAAAAAAAAGGATATTTTAAAGACAGATAGGCAGGGATAGTGGTACACACCTGTAATCCCAGCATTCCAGAGGCTGAGGCAAGAGGATCACAAGTTCAATGCCAGCCTAGCAAGATTGTGGCTCCAAAACAAAACAAAAGGATACTTAATACTGGGTTGGGGTTACAGCTGTGTGGTAGAGTACTTGCCTAGGATGTGCCAGGCCCTGGGTTCACTCCCCAGCACTGAAAAAAATAAAGATAGATAAACTAAACAGTGCTGATGGAGGTAGGAAAAGGAAGAAACTGAGAAAAATGATGTCCAAGGGGTTAAGCCCAGGAAACACTGGTAGGAAAGAAGAATGGGGAAGGGAGGGACTAAAAGAGGAAAACAGAGTGGTGAATGTGGTGCTGAGTCTGAGAGGAGAGCAGGACAGATGTGCTCAACATGTCAGTCACATCCAGTGTGTGGGACCATGGGAAGAAAAGAATGGGTAACTGGAGTGCAAGGCACGGTGCAAGTTTCAAGTCAAAGGGAGTGGTACTGGGGCCATGGTTCAGATGGTAGAGCAACTGCCTAGCAGTCACAAGGCCCTGAGTTCAAGCCCCAGTACCAGGAAGAAAGAAGAAAGAAAGGAAGGAAGGAGAGAGAGAGAGAGAGAGAGAAAGGAAAGAAAGATGAAGGTGGAAAATGATCCTGAGAAAAATCAAATTATATTGTTGCCAGACATGGTGGTACACATCTGTAATCCCAGTACCGGGGAAACTGAGGCAGGAAGACCATGAGTTTGAGGACAGCCTTAACTACATACAGAGATGATGTCTCAATAAACAAACCACAAAGATACAAAGATTACATCGTTAGGTTTAAACTTTAACATCAGCCCAAGCAAGGTCTGCTTAAAACAGGAATTTTTTTTTCCCCAGTGCTGGATTTGGAACCCAGGGCCTGAGGCATGCTAGACAAGTTCTGTACCACTGAGCTAGCCCAGTCACAAGGCAGGTATTTTAACCTAGGATGTATGAAACAGCTTCGGGGGATGTCCAGGAACCATCTAAAATTGTCCTCATGGTGTTGTGAGTACTGTGTGGCATTTTCCTGCAGAGATAGTTTTGGATGGCTTTCTCTCAGATTCTCTAATCCTGACCTTAAAAAAGACAAATCCAACTTTATCCAAGAAAGAAATGTGCCAGTCAGAAGGAGGAGGTTAAAATGAAAGTGTTCACAGGAGACAATGAAGGGGAGGGGGGTGGGAAGAGAAAAGAGGAAGGAGGGGGGTAAGAGGAGGAGGAAAACCTGAAGGTGCGTTTCAAGTGGTACAGCACCTGCTTTACAAACCCTAGTCCCAACAAAAGAAAAAGAACAAAAAAAAAAAAGGAAAAGGAAGGGGAGGAGGAGGAGAAGGAAAAGGAGAAAAGGAAAAGGAAGAGGCATAGGAGGTGACAGAGGCAGCAGCAGTATGGCCCGAGACACTGGCCTCTGATAAGTCACAGAGGTCAGATGAGGACCCGATGGCGTTATTCATGTAAAAACTCCTGTAACTGAAGTCCACATTCTGACTCCACACTCTCCAGGCAGCCTTCTGATAACTCTCAGGAGAGAGGCCATGATTAATTATGAACGCACTGGTGCACCAATGACATTCTTGTCATTGTAAATTACGTAAATTACTCTCAACTTTTTTTTTTTTTTTTTTGGTGGTGGTGGTGATACTGGGGTTAGAACTCAGGGCCTCACACTTGGTGTCCTACTACTTGAACCACTCTGCCAGCCCTTTTTTGTATTGGGTATTTTCAAGATAGTGTCTTGAGAACTATTTGCCCAGGGCTAGCTTCAAACTGTAATCCTCCTGATC